CGATGATCGAATTCATAACAGACAGCCTGCTATTTGCACAAAACCGCAACAGTTTCGTGCCATTATTGTTCAGGTCGCTAGGGCCGTTCTTTTCAATGAAGTCATTCCAATTATCGGTTACTGCTCAGGCACGTGTACTGAAGACGTTCGTTGATCGTAGTCGGCACATCGACTATAGATAGATCGTATGATGATCGAATGATCAAATGATAGATCGCAATCGGCACATCGTTTAGAGCACCATCTACTTCATGAGAGAATGACTCATACTCTCCCTCCAAATTAAGTACACAGATCTGTAATAAGGCCAAAACTTTCGCCTGCTGCAACCCAAATAGGAGGGGTGCCGCTTTTGCGCCGAAAAGCCTACTTCCAATGACTGTCAGCTAGGCTGGTTTTTCTTTCAGAACGCCAGCACATGCCTGAGTGCTGACCGTAGAGCCCGACATCAGAGTGGAAAAGTTTCCAGCCGCAAAGATTCAGAATTCCAGAGCCCTTACGTTATGTTGCCGAGAGTCCAATCATATCGCGTTGTTGCCTTTCGGCTTAATCAACTAGCTCCTGCTCCTTCCCTCAGAATTACATGTTCTAATTTTTGACTGTGAGCTCCTACTGTCGCTATCATTCCAGTGAAACCTTTTATAATGCGCCACAATGGTCACAGATCACATATTTACTGCCATAAATTAAACATGATCAAAGGAGTTAATAGTCAAAACGCAAAATAAACAGCTATCAGAAGAGACACCGCATGACCATGTTTCGGTCGGTGTATTACAGACCGTCTTCAGCGCTTCAACCGAAGTAACAAACCATGACACCTGCATTCTAAAGAAACGTTACGAGCATACATCTTGAGGATGGATATTCAGAAGTGGACAGAAACGATGTCAGCCAGAATATCCCTCAATAACCTTTTATTTTAGGATACGTCCATAAAGTACATTGCGGTCACGTTTGCTTTGTTTCACCTTAGAGATATACAGCTGACGTAAGAAAAGAAGATAAATGAAAAATTACCGACATCGCAACCACCACAACTCTTGAGCAATCTGTTGACCCTTGCTTTCACATCCTCAGGAACCAGATCACTTGTCATGAGGGTTGGATAAGCAGCCGTAGCCAACACCTGTCAAAATACACCGATAAGCATCCAAAGCTTCTGCATTCAACTACTACGACTGCACTTACTTGTCGTATAAACGTTATTGGATGTTGCAGCATTGCATGCGCATCGCCGATATTTGCCTTTATTACACTCTTAAATGGTTTCTTAACACCCTGAAATAAAAAATAACAACCAGGCAAAAACATCCGAGTGCAAAACTGCAGCGAAAGCTACCTTTAAAAATAGAAAATAAGGTGCCTAGAGAAATATTTATTCATACAGATTCTGGACACTTTAAAAGAGGAGTTGAAGTCGACTTACAAATCCAGCAGTGGGCTTGTCTAAAAGAATAGTTTAACTTTGTGATCTGTGTATGGAAGGAGAGATTGTTTCGACCGACAGATTATGCACTCAAACTCACCTGCAGTCACTTCGATAAGGTAATACAGATAGTCCCGAGTAACGATCATTCGACTTTTCGATCTTACGATACTGATTACGATACAACAAATTTCGAAAAATATTTCCGATTTCACATGAAGAACAGCTGAGCGTAAGCGTATGTCATACGATAGTTTGGATACGCTTGAGAGGCTGGTGCCGGCAGCATCGTATCACTTAACGGGTGGTCTGCTTCAGTATCCAGCGATCTAACTCTTAGTGAGACAGCGATTCAAGAAATATTTACCCTTTGTGTTATTTTGTGCTTAAAAATTGTGCTTTTTACTATAAGAATGGCCCCAAACGTGCTAATGTTTCTTGTAGTGAGAAAAAAGAGGAAAGCTATTACCTTGGAAGATGAAATAAAGATCATAAACCAGAGGGAAGGAGAGAAATCAGTCATGGCCATGGCACGTGCTTCTCAGTTAACCCAGTCAACGGTATCAACGATTCTCAAAGACAAAGGTGGGTCATGGAAGCAATCACAGGTGTTGCATCTGTGCACGCCACCGCAATATCGAAGAGATCTTCCATTTACAGTATTACTGATTTACAGTGTATGAGATTGTACTAAAATTTATTGCTGCAAAGCACTTTGCAAATGTATGTACTGTACTGCAACACAATTTCAAAGGTTTATTAATTACCTCTACAGTGCACTATAGCATAAGTATTCTATAATATTTACTGTATTACAAACTACAGGGTACGAGGTTTGTTAAATTTAACACAAAACTATACAGTACATTACGCAATAACACTATAATTACAGCATAGCTATGTCATACATTACATTGTTTTCATCTATACCCTTTACAGGGTCTCCCCAATTAACGACATTTTCGTCTTACGATGCGATTATCGGAACATAATCACATCGTAGGTCGGGGACCTCCTGTACGTGTAAATAACCTTAAGCGATAAATCAGGTGAGAAAATGAACAAGCTTAGGATCTGATCTGTCGCTTCTTATTTCTCTCATGACAGTCTTATCCAGAGGACATCTGAAATATACCTCCTATACGCCTTCTAAGCATAACCGATAACCTCGCTGTTTAAGCAACGGGACAGTAGAAAAATAAACATGGAAGGATACGTTTATATAGTAGGCATGATGTCCTGAGGAGAACCAGTTAAGATATTATTTGAAGAAGTTTGTCAGGATGGCCAATCAAGCTGTCGACTAAAAGTTTAACATAATGGACTGAAAAAATACTCTTTTACACCAAGTGCAAAAGACCGATGGCAGCAGAAGGAATATTCAACTATAACGCTATATCAGCGCTATGATGAGTTCCATCTATGGATTTGTAAAAGAACTGTAACTTCAGGGAAGAAACTGAAATTTACTTACCTGGAAATGTATCAAATATATGAATCTAACAGCTGCATGATGCCAACTACAACGGTGTATATGAGAGGCCAAAAAACAGACTACTTCTGCATGCTTACAATCAAGTGCCAGTCACGAAAAGCTGACAACTCAGAAGAGCTGCTACGAGTTTTACACTCTCATAGTCTGCTTGCTATATTACATACATTTATAAACATCGAAACACGAATATAAGTTTTTCTAATCTCACGTGGTGACACTGTGGCAGGTTAGAGGACATAATTGGTTGAGACGGAACGAACATTCAATTTATTGAACCAAGTACTCAAACGTACCCAGAGGCCTGTCGTTACTTTCAGAAACGAATGAGTAGCACCAGCCTCCCTCAACATACAATTGTGATTAGGTAGATGAAGGAAAGACAAGGAGCACAGCATACTAATCAGAAGACGACAGTAAACAAATCACCTTTCAATGGCTTGCAGGCAATGCCAGATTCCTGCCATCTTCACCAGAAAGGTGAGAAGTGAACTTTTTTCTAGGTTTTCGACTGCTCGTAAGTGGTCCATCGCAATAAATCCACTTTGGATTCCGGCTTGTTCGTTTTGCTGTGCAGCTTTAAGATTTCACTGAAGTCTCTTCGTCAGAACCTTCGTGAAGATCTTGTAGGTAATTGGCAACAAGCGGATCGACCCATAGTTCTTCAAATCATCTGTCCTTCCTTTCTGTGGAGAAGAATCACTGACGCGGAATCCAATCGTATGGAATTTTCAGTTCTTTCAAACACCGTGAAAGTAAGTGCGCTAGCATCTTAGTCAATGCTTCACCTCCTGATTCCACTGTTATCTCATTTTCGCCAGGAACCCTTCTTCGCTTTGACTGGTTTATTGCATGTCGTATTTCTTCTAGCAGGATATCTGGAATTTCGTCAGCTTCATCTGCAACTTCAATTTCCCTATCGCCACAAAGGGGGGTCTGGCTATCTCATTTTTGTAAAGTTTTCCGTAGAAATCCTCAACCTAGTCTCTTTACTGTCCCTGATGACCGCACTCGGAGTACTAAATTTTGCCGCTTCCGATAATTAGTCTTCGATTTAATTTTTTATGCTTCAGATATTTTCAACAGTTTCCTTTAGCAATAGCATGTGAATGCTCGGGCGGTTTCTTTTATTTTTTTTCAGTTTTGCACACTTCCACATGTTCAATCTTAGATTTCAGATCTGTTGCTATTTTCATTTCTCTTCGTTTCTTCATGAGTCCTTCCGTCTGCTTCGTGAAGTTCCGGTCGATCGTAATTATCCTTGTCTGGGGATGTTTTCCGCCGTCTCTATAACTACCTTCGTTATACCCTGATATATTATGTTAATGTCTGCTGTTTCTCCTGTTCCTTCTTCTTGCATTCCGTGAAGGACGTCGCATCGGTTATTTAATTTGAGTTGGTATAGCCAGAGAGCTGAGTCAAAGCGCATTTTGGTTCTGACGAGTATTCGGTCGCTCCTCGCATTAAACCTGTTACGCGTCGTGATGGACAGCACTCTGTTTATTCTAAAAGAAATATGCTAGAGCCAGAGCTTAACGAAGCAATCCTAGAAAAGCCTGACTTTATGATTTTAATTCTGGACCCATTGTCGGAACTGCAACGAATTTGCTTAAGCATTTTGGATGGAGTACACCAACCATCGATCAGGAAACTCGTTACAGTTAGAAGTGTAGCGCTTTCATACTACGCATGTGGTAGATTTTGTTGAATGTTCAGGGAGCCTTCGGCTGGGAGTAGTTGGAAAAAGGGGTTGAGACAAACATTTGGCATATGGCACATATCCTTAAGTCAAACGTGATTTTCACAGAAATTAAACACAACGGTGTCTTCAGCATACGTGAAGCACTATGTCAAGTAGCAAGGTAAACGCACCTGCTTTATAAAATAAACAATTAGTGGTCCAAAACGTTTTTCCCCAACGGAAGTACGAAAAACTACACTAAAAAATCAAACACCAGAAGCAGAAGTATAGAAAGTTCAATGTAAAATCTTACGACAGAAAAACTGCACGAGTTCTAATAATGTTCCATATGTTTCAGAACAGCCGGTAAGTGTCCACTGGTTCTCTAGTAGAGTGACCTAACCGAAAGCGGGCGAGTCGTACTATGCGTCAGAACTGCAGGCAGAAACATTATCACCGCCACACAAGGAAAAGCACTCCTCATAGAACTACCTCAGGTAAAAATTCGCGTCAATGGTGTGTCAAGTTCAGATTCTCAGCGCTGGCGAATTAAATTCAGAAGTACCGACGTTAAAAAGTAATCCATCTCGTGTGTTAAATGAGTCTCGCCAATTATTGAAAATTCTGTTGAAATACGCTACGCCCTCGTCTCCGTAACTCTTCCCACAAACATGCATCGGCCCTTGAAAGAGGCTTTGGTAGCTGACTTGTGCACGTTTCTGCAGTTTTGTTCACTTGGCAAAAGCCTCTCACCTTCGTGCAATGACTGCAGAGTGCATTGCAGTTGCAAAGAAGGATAGACATTTGTGAAAGCGCACTGCTCGCTCACTGTAACTTATTAATGGTGTAAACCGGAACTGACAGGAAACTATGACTTTCAACGCTCTCCCTCTATCTTAAACACGTCAAGACGCCACAGCATTTTCGATCCACTGCTACACGAAGGCTTTTCCAAGACTTCTGGACTTCACAGACTTCTGTTTTCTACCACTTTCATCATCTTGATCGAACCAACTTCTTCAGCTCATCCTGCCTTCCATTTGGAGGTCTTCCTACACACAACTTTCTCTCTCTCAGAACCTGAATTAATACAAATTCTTCTTGCACCGTGTTATTCCCGTTGCCACTTTAACATCTTCACTCGGACATTCACACAGCAGACTTCGTTTGTGCGCTTACCCACTCATTCGTCCTTCTGTCATTTCTTATTTCCAACATACATCTTTTCATACTGCATTGCGTAGTCCGCACTTTATGATTAGCTTTCAAGCGTAAGGTCCACGTTTCGCATTCACAAGTTAGAACGGGAAGCACCCACTGATCGAAAACTTCCAGTTTCAAGGATAGGGCCGTTTCCCGGCAATGCCCAATCATAGAAGTAGAAGTTGATATACACTGGTACATATTCTCTGTTTGAACAAAGTACAAGCAACGCGGTCCGTCGCTGGAAAGATCCAAACATAAACAACCGTCATTCGTGTTGCCCTCCATGCCTGGAAACTTTGCCGCCATGGCTAAAGAACAGATGGTCATACAAGTGCATACTGTACGCATTAACGCGATGAAAACGAGGTCACGTGAACCC